CAGTTATTGTTTTTCCCAAACGGGGTTAAATATTCATTTCATGCCCATTTTTTATCCCTTTGTTTAGTTCTTTTCCTGTGAAGTTTGTCGTTTTTCCCCTAGTCTGAAGGAGACGGATATAACGGGTTGGGCGAAACAACCCCCCGGTGGGGGGGGGGGGGTACTCCCTATGATGGCCTGTGCGTAGAGTCTCCGCCCGTGTACCTTTTGCAGGCTTCAGGTATATAAAAGGGTAGGGATTTCTCTAGCTGAAGTATATCAAAGGGTAGAGAAATCTGTTATTCGGGTCTGTGAAGGGGCACAAAAGGGCTAACGAATGAATTTTTGGCTTTATAAAGTGGAAAAAAACGTTCTATTTTTGTGATTGATTCCTATTTAAAAGACAGTGCATTTACAGCAGTTAAAAGGGATGCAAAGTTCTAAACAAGGTATGTGAAACGGGGTACCATTTGTCAATAGAACGGTATACAAAAGGGGTACCTCTTTCGTGAAAAATGGTATATAAAAGGGTAAGGGGTTGGACCTTGGGGCGGAGTCTCCTCGTAAAAACATTTATTGAGTACCCCACGGGATCCAAACTTATTTAGACGAACTTAACTGAGCCAGACGTCGAACTTTCCATGAACTATAGACACTAAGTTTGGTTCGTCCCATGAAAAGGTCGAGGTTTCGCCCAAGCCTTAGAGATAGTAATACAGAAAGACATGAAAGACACATGAAAGCGACGCAATCTTATTTGCAGTATATAACAACAGGTTAGTTCAGGCTGTTTAAATTTTGAGCCCAGGTTGAGCTGCAATTTGAACAAATACGGTTTAAAAGATTGGGTGATCGAGGTGGAGTGGTTTTGCAACTCTTTGAAACTTCCAATTTGTACGTCTCTAAGCAACAACGACTGCGACGGCTACGAAAACGTTACTTAAAAGTGAAGTCGCGCTGCTTCAAACTTTTTCGCGCCTTTTCCATCTCGTACAGGTCGTCAAATGCTGGAACTTTTTTTGTGGAGTTGAATTCTAGAAGACTGCTCGGAGTTCAGGAAAAAAAAAAGAAAGTAGTTGCCTTGTGTTCACGTCCTCCACAAAACGTGAAATTAGGCAGTTTAACGTCGTAGTCAACTAGTGACGGCAAAGAAGGGTACAAAACGCGTGTTGCACGTGCAGAGTTGCTGTTTTGCCAATCTAAACCTATTGCTGTTTTGCCGTTTTCGTTAGCCTGCAGTGCAGGCGTATTTTGGGCGGGCCAAGTTGTTGTCAACATGGCGCTTTCGCGAGCAAAACATTCGCGCGCCCGAAGAAAACGCCTGCACTGCGGGCTACGTTCTCTTTGATGTCACCGTCTTCGTTGCTGATCAGAAGCTCCCTTATTATAATAAAATGATCTCGACAACTTTTTCATTTCAACCTCGTCACTCCCCAGGGCTTTTCCCTCATAAAGTGGGTGGGGCCCACCCATTTTTTGAGGGAAAAGCCCCGGG